TGAAGTTTGACCGAAGGGTTTTCGAAGTCGAGAATTACGAATCTCAAATCAGGTTTTACATATTATATAAACAGAAACTTCAGTGATATTATAGAGGATGATTTCTACGAGAAAGAGCTGAGCGAGTCCACAGACGAGCGTTACTTGTTAGTTAACGTTATCGTGATACGGTTTAATATCAAATAGACCAGATTTCAATGATTTCAGTGCATGCTAAATAATACCTATAATGATAATATATGATATACAAGTTCAAATTAACGCATAAACGGACTCAATATTTTATCAGCAACACTGTTTACTGGTCAACTAATGATTGAATGAACTTGTAATGAGGTTTTTCTTTATCTAATTTGATGGACGCATTCAACAGTTGAGCCATAGGAATCATAACCTTCGCTCAATGTATTACGCAACTTTGCATGAATGTGTATTGCGGTACAGTTAAAGTTGGCTCTTGTTATGATGTACTAGCAAATATCAGCCAGACCCACTCGTCATAGAGCATATACGAAAAATGAACCAATTTTAAACTTTATAAATTGATCGACAAGACATAACGCTATATACATAAAAAATGACAAGTTTTCCATGGTCTCAAACGGTTGAAATGGAAGGTCATGCCGGGAACTTTTTAATCATCCTATGTATACAAATTAAACAGATAATCAGAAAATATTTAGTTGCTATTAATATGGCTAGATTGCTTGTGATAATTGATCACTGAACCCTAACTGTTATTTACATTTCAGATGCTGACGCAGTTTCTGATGTATCAAAATTATCCACCAATGCAAATATTTATTTGCAACCAAAAGTAAGGGATTGATGAAAAGAGTTCATCTTGATATTTACCTACCGATTGTATTGTAGTCGACCGAGAAACTGGTTGGTTTTGCCGTTAGAAATAAAGCTGCAATCGGTCTAATATTTTTCTGCAGCATATGTTCACTTCTTTTACGAGATCCAGTGCAACTTGGCTGTTCCCATCGTTTTTGTAAGTCATGTGTCGAATCAGTTGACGGGTAAGAATGTAATTTGCCTTCGAATACACCTATTTATTTGTTTCTAAGGGAAACAATAAGATGCACACATTGTCATACAGAAGTTCCAAAGAAAACAGTAAAAGCACCGTTAGATGTTGTATTATTGTCACTATGCGCTCATTTTTTAGGTATTTTCTGACAAGGGATTTAAAAATGATATGTCAGGGCTGGAAATAGAATGTTACCATTGCGACTGGAAAGGAGTATATAGAGATTATGAGGTAATGCTAAGCACTAACCATTGCATTTACGATTAGAAATAAAATTCACTTGTGTTTCACCTGTACTCGGCTACCCTATTGATAATTTTTATTCTTAAAGACTCATTTGGAAGAAAGCCATTCTGATCTTTTATGTGAAAGTTGTGGCGAACGTTTCACGTCGGCAAACAGTATAGTACTGCACAAACAAAATGATTGTGAAAAAACCATTGTTGCTTGCCCTCTAAAAGAATTCGGTTGTTCAGATAGAGTGGAGCGAGCTCATATTCATGAACATTATCTCACTCAACAACATCAAAATGCAATACTTGCCGCTGCCCGTCAATTGAAAGCTAAATTAGCACGCAATCAAATATCAGATGACATGGAAACGGATACGTATGCACATGATGAGTCAACTCACTCAGCCACGACAACTAATAACGCAATGTCTCAACTACCAGAATTAGACGAAGCAGTTGGCGTTTTGGTAGATGGAATGCAAGTATTGGTTGAGCATACGCGTGATCTGAGTATGGAATCTGTGAGATTAGACAATCAAGTGGAGAATCTACATGAAGAGCTCGAAACACTCAAAGTGAGTGTTCCAGAGCAAAGCATATTTTTGAGCGGATTAAAACCGAATCAAGAGATACTCGCTCAAGAAGTGGCATCTCTCAAGCAACAGATCGATGAATTTCAATACACTTCTTATGATGGATCGTTGATCTGGAAAATAACAGATGTTTCCGAAAAAATAAGTAAGCTTTCTAAACTGTTTGCCAATCACTATAAGACCAGTGGTTTTTCACTCAGGTGGCGCTCAGGGTGAACGACAAACATCGATATATTCTCCGACATTCTACTCATCTCCCAATGGATATAAGATAAGAGCTCGTTTATACCCTTATGGAGATGGGAATGCTCGTCGCACTCATTTGTCCCTCTTCTTTGTTTTGATGCGCGGGAGATTCGACCATCTATTAGCGTTTCCCTTTCAGCACAAAGTGATCTTTTGCCTATACGATCAGACACCTACGCAACGTCATCTGATCGATTGTTTTCGACCTGATATCAAATCAAATAGTTTCCAAAGGCCACGATCTGAGATGAACATCGCCAGTGGCATTCCGAAGTTTTGCCCCTTGGCCATAATTCAACAGGAGAATAATCCGTACGTTCGCAATGACACTATGTTTATCAAAATTATGATCGATTTCGAGGAGTTGCCGAAAAGAGTTTTGCCATATGCGCTAAGTCTTGATCCTGGATTACCAGCGCATATTCGACAACAATTGATTCGTCAAGAAACAGAAAGACAAGCACAACAAAACAATACTACAGCATAATCGCAAGAATCACTTCTCATAGCACACGGGTTTGGTTTTTGCATTTAATAAACCAAGAAAATAAAATATTCTCATTTTAACTCGAATTGAAGCATCTTTCATATAGAAAATTGAAGTTGTTTTTTTCTCTTGTTAGCTTTCTGTGTTTAGCAGGAGAAGTGAAAGCCATTTATTCTGCGATTTTTTAGAATAACAACAGAGGGTGAGGGTATGTTAACAAGTTTTCGTTACCTTATTTTCTATCACTAACGAAGATAAGAAGAGTTCTGACGTTTTTGCCTACATCATATACAGTTCAAGTCTTCAGTTTGTCATGAAAAAATATAATATCAATCAGACATTCCTACTGGGAATTTTCCCAGTAGTTGGGAGAGAATCTATTCTTTTGTCGTTCTTCAACGAAACTACCCACGACTAAAGTGAATGAAAACATAATGGTAGAAAAAAAAGCATGTGTAAAGACTGTTATGATGTCGAAAAGCATTTCAAAACGAGATTTTTTTTACGAACTGTGTTTATTCTGTAAGTAGTTTTAGTTGGAGAATCCAGCTGTACAAAAATAACACAATGCCTGCTATTCGACATCATTATAACAGAGGACCGCAAAATGGGCCTGGTGATCATGCACCACACATCAATTTCACTCATGTCGGCGGTCATATTCATGTCGAATTGAAGAAAGCTATTCAATCCGGTGAAGAACGCATACTTCTTTTAACGCCTGAACGGTTCTTTGAGATATCGCATAAAAGTGATGAAATTCGACAAGCTGGTCGACATATGGCCGAATATCAAGTAAACTCATTAGTACCTGATTAACTTATCTTATTACAATAGGCGAACTTTTAGGGACGTAAGAGTGCTACACAACCACCTAAGAACATTGGCTCTTTTGAGTTTGTTCTCCGTTCTGACTTTCGTAATGACGTATACGAGCACATGTATCAGTGGGAAATACCCGACTCTCAACTACGAGTGAGTGTCAGAAATCGTCGGAGTGATGGCAAACGTCCCATTGACACGCAATTTGTTGTTGAGATACGAATTTTTAATGATCATGGCTTTCCAACGGATAGTGGAATTATGATGGCTTGGCACAACTTTCATGGTATTGACTTTTTCACGCATAGCTTTTATAAATGAGACTGTAAGACAAAGGGAAAAAGAGAGTATATGTAGATGACTCTAAGATATGCACATGATTAAATATACTTAACAACTTTCTATTCAAAGGTACATTTGTTCGTCATCGAAAAGAACGTCGAGATCGTATCGAAGAGATGCGACGAAATGGCACATCAAATATTTCTACAACAACATCAAGTAACGGTAGTCGAGCAACCACTACTGCGTCTAATGTCGTTGACAATAAAAACCTGTCAAGTTGGATTATTGATGAAAAGTATGTCAACCAGGAGACATATTCTTGTGTTATTTGCATGGACACTTATGTGAAAAACGATCATGTTCAAGGTCTGCCAAAATGTACACATTACTTTCATCAAAAATGTATTCAAGCATGGCTTATCGGAAGCGCAACTTGCCCTGTTTGCCGATCCGAAGCATAGAATTATTTTTATTTGTCGGCGAACATCACTTTCATTCTTCTGAATAAATAATCATCAAAGAAAAAATTTGAGATTCCACATTTACTATATTCACTAGTTATCTCTTGTACTTTTATTCATGCGTGTCTTGTGAAAAGGAAAGTTCACTGCTTTTATTACAGTGACAACGTGAATCGTTGAACATATTAATCCATTTCTTATTCTTGCAAAAAATTTCGCATGAAATGTGTGTCAAACAAAATTTTGAGAAATTTGAATAGTGGAAACGAGAAGAGCATATCATATCATGTCTCCCTTTGCGATCTTCGCATATAATGTAGCATTGAAAACCATTCTTTCAACATTAAAATGTCCTCACCATCTTTAAGTTATAGCCTTTCGAATATTCAACTACAATTAGAACGTTACGTTTACTCATTATGGATTATTTTGGGTGTGCCCGGATGCATTCTTGATATTGCGATATTCAGTCGTCAACGATTACGTAAGATTTCATGTTGCAACTGTAGGTAAAATACAATCGATTTTTGCTGTTTCCTAACCATATGTTCGTGTTTTCTTGCAGATTTTCTTGCAGCATCCATCAATAATCTGGTCACTTTATTCGTCGGTGTGCTACCGGTGATGTATAGCATAGATCATCCTGATCTTCTGACGACTTCACTTTGGTTCTGTAAAATCCGCGGCTATCTATTTCAAATCTGCTTAATGCTATCTCGATGGTTCGTGGCATTTGCTTGTATCGATCGGTATGCACAAAGTTCGACCAATGTGCGTTTACGCAATTTCGCCAATATACGCATGTCCTATCGTTCGATTGTCGGAATCATTGTAGTCTGGACAATCATTTGCAGCCATCGAATGATCTTCTATGAAATCAAAGGAAACATCTGTGGAATTATCACAAACACCGGAGCAGCGCTTTATCATAGTCTCTATGTATTGATTGGTGGTGGAGTTCTTCCAGCAGCTGCCATGATTACATGTGCGTTGTTTATTCGGCGTAATCTCAATTTTAAACGGCAACGAAGACAAACCAGCACAGTTGCTGATACAGAACATCAGCGGCAACAAAAATCTCTCGATCAACAGATTTTGAAGTTGTTATTTATTCAAAGTTTTTTCTATATTTTACTAACCACACCGCAGTTGATCAATTTAATCTACAGCACAATATCGAGTACAATTCCAAATCGAACAACAGATCGTTTAGCCATTGACAAAATAATCGCATTTTTGGCTGAATTGATGCTTTACGTATTTCCTGTAGCATCATTCTATTTGTACACATTGACAGCCCGCGCGTTTCAACAGGAGTTACTTAAGATTTTGCGTTTGATTTTCAATCGTCTGACCGGTCGTAGACCAATACAAGTTGGATCGCTGAATCATACTCTTAGTACTCATAATCGCCAAGGGCCAATAATGCATTTATCACCCGCTCGACGTCTCACAGAATATCAACATCAATGAATAGAACAGTGACTGAATAATGTATTTTTCGAGAAAAAAAAGAGCAATTCGGTTTCGAAATATGAAGTATATTTGATGAAATTATAATAAATGAAATTTCACAGGAAACTATCTAAATTCAACATTCACTTTTATAAGAATCACAAATTAGGATAATATTTTAAATTTCTTTACTCGTGCGCTGCCCACTTCGGGCACGTAGAGATTTTCTTCATTGTCAAATGTCATCGAGTTTGGCCATATAAACTCATTGGATTCTTCTCGATTTCAATCAGCAATCATTTCGCCTGGTTGAACATCTTTGAGTCATCGCACAATTCTAGAGTTACCAAACATCACAAATATAAAGAATGCCGAATTCATCGATAAGAATTCCTTTGGGGATTTTACAAACGTGAAAGATCACTATCGGTATCTGAAAATCCGGTAACAACAGTCCCTTGACTTGCTTCATCAGCCCATTTCATAATTCATTTATTGTACTCATCACATACATATTTCAACGAAGTAAATTCTTTTATTTGAACAGCCAAAAAATAAATGAAAGCACTCAATACAATGATGAGTACAAATATGCTAATTTTTCAATTAAAAGACAAAGAATATAAGACAGAGACAAGAAAGAGATGATAGTACATTGATAGCCATCTTAGTGGGAGCACTATTTTTTACTGTTGACGTTATCATATCTGTTGTTGTTATTTCTGCTGTTGTTCTTGTTGTTGTTGTTGTCGTAGTTGTTGTTGCTAGGAAGAAAAAACATGTTCAATTTAAGTTTGAAATGGATGTTTTTGTTTTTCAATCTGATATGGATATTGACTTACTGAGAGTATTGGATATTATAATGAACTTTTGAATTCGGTGATTGTTATAGTCAGTTACAAATATATTACCATAAGTATCAAATGCTATGTATTGAGCATTACTGAGTTGATTTGGTTCTGATCCACCGGTACCTGAACAACCAGCAATACATTGAAATCCCAGAGAATTCTGTGCAATAATACGATTGTTACGACTATCCATGATAAATAGGAATCCATTACCATCGAGTATAACACTAGTTGGACATTTAAGTGAAATAGTTTTAGGTGCAGTACTTCCTACTACGGTGGTTCCATTTGGATCACCAAGATTGAAACGTTGAATTCGATTATTACCACATTCTGCCACATACAAAGTAAAGTCTGTATCAACAAAGATTCCGTTTGGCTCATTAAGTAATGATGGTGTCGATCCAGCAGTACCATTACCAGCGACTTTGATTGGTATCATAGAATTGCTACTTAGATCAACTTTAACTACTTGATGTGACCGTTCCAGGGAACAATAAAGCGAATTGTTGGTGTCAATAAAGAGGCTCCAGCATGGATTACTAATAGTCATCACACTTGAACTATGCGTTGCATTTGGCGTCCATTTGTCGACTCGACGATTTCGAGCACCATTATCAATATAAATATCACCATCTTTCGATGCAAACAGACCATAAGGAAAATTAATATCATTTGTAATAGTCCTTACGGAAGTTGAGCTTCCATGATACCATACTTTAACAATATTGTTCAACCAGCTACCTGCGTAGATAGTGTTACTTATGTCGACAAATAGTCCGCGAGGGAAACGACCAAATGTAGATTGATTGGCAAAGGTGATAGCGCTTGAATTCCACGATGCATTCGAACTAAACTTCGGTCGATTATACCAAAGATCAATCATTCCTGTAGTGTGATGTAAGAGCATGAATATTAAAATCCATGATCTACTAGACATTTTGAATGACATTGTTCGTTCTCTTCCTCTAACTACGATAGATATATCTAAAATAGTTTGAATGGAAAGCATGTCATCAAAATTTATTGTATTTTCTATGCTGATATCCTATTTGAAAGCTATTCACAAAGATTACACAAGGGTATACTAGGTAAAAACGTAAATCATCGACCAGATTCACGCTCAAAACTAACGAGTACAATAAACCGAGTATGTAATCCAGCTGAAATAGTTTTTAAAAAGTTGTTATGTCAAAGTGAAAAGGTAGAATATGATGACGCAAATGAATTCCACTTCAGATGATATCCGAATATTGTTCGTTGATATTTTATTTTGCAATACCAAGTGCAGTTGATTCACAGATTAAGATTATTCTAATAACAATATTGACAGAAATATCTTTCGATAAGAAACTTAATACTCGAAATTTTATATTTATCAACAAAATAAGAAATGAAATCTATATTTATGAAAGTGAGAATATGATAAAGACAAAACTATCTTCACTTCAACTAAATATAAGAACGAACGTCTTCGCCTTAAATAAAGTTTATTAGCCTTGACGCCGTAAACTGAGACCTTTAGGGACATCCACTTTCACCTTTAATAATCTTTTCTGTCGATACATATGTAAAAACAATGTATAAGATTCTGAATGATCATATTTTTCCGTCAAGTTCAAATATAAACTATAGTAAAAGTATGATTTTCGTCAAAAATGATTTAATCATATAAGACCATTTTCAATAAATATCGACAAAGAATTTCCGTATACGATGATTGTCTTCTATCAACCACTTTCATTGCTTTGTTAGAACTTCCAGCCCAATTCCACCAATGGACCTTCTCTACACCAACGCATTATTCGATTACATCGATTCTTCATTCTAAATTTCGATAATTATAATGATCAGCAATAAAGATGGCGTGATCTTTACTATCATCATATCCACGTCTTCCAGCAACAACGATCGAATTTTGGATCTATTCGAGATTAATATGATCGTGAGAAGAAGTTAAGAAATGTCGAGAGTAATGACAAAATTGAACTTTACTCCTTGTCCAGGTGAACCTTATCATATTATATTCATCAATTTCTGTTTTAGAAAAGGTTTATATAAGTTACATACGACCATACCTTTTGTTAAATTTTTGTCGATAATTCTGACGTTGTTTCTATGACTGATGTCGTTTCACATGTTGACATTATTTGTACTGTCGATGCTTGAGTGTTATTTCTATTTCTTGCTATAATATCAACTAGTATAACATTAGCGATCATGTATGAAAACATTTTTGAATAAAACCGCGATTGGACATAATGTGGTATGAAGTGGTCGTATTGAAACGCCTTAGTTGACGTTCAAAAGAAGAAAACGACATTCATCGTCGCTTCCTACAGGTGCATTTGTTATTCCCTTAGCCTCCTATAAACCGTTCATATTACCAACTGCGATCATCTTAGCTAAAAGTGTTAACTCCTTTTCTCCTGTTCTATAAGAATGTTTCGAATACTTACCATCAATTCACAAGCCGTTCATGTTTCAGTTGAACCATCGGGATGCATCAATATAAAGTCTAAAAGTGAATATCTATCTGACGGCTGCGCGAATACCAGTACATTTTGTACTCTAATTTGTTCTGTGATCTAAGATATTTCCTGTCACCTAGAGTCCTGTATTCAATGTAAAACAACTCAAACAGTATATCTTGTACTGACACTACTTTGGATTCGGAAAATTTAGAATAGGTTAGCTTGTACTATCATTACATCGAGCAAGAAAATGAAAATAATAATGGTCGTAGTGGTTATTCTGAGCACTAAAATGGTTTGACATTACAGTATAAAAGAAATTGAAGGTCCAAAGTAGCGTCAGAATGTGACACTACATCGGATTCTAGATACAGTAGGATGCAAAAAGATTTGCCGATGAACTTATCTATGCTCTTTTCACAAAAGCGTGAGATGTCGAAACCAGGGTTACCATCTATTCAGGTCTCAAATGGGGTGCACGAGAGGTACAGCTTTCCTCTAAATAGAGTACAGACGTGAGATACAAAATTTCTTCGGAAATATATCAGATCTGTTCGAAGAAGAAGTCCACAAAAGACTTATTATTACCGGAAAATCATTTTATCTTCTCTCTCTGTAAGATCTGTTGTGAGATGTTTGTTTTCAGACAAAAAAGTCATATAAATAAAACTAGTTTCAATATGTTTCTTAATAAAAAAACTGGAATGCACAATGATTTTTCGATTTTCTTCAAACCAGTTAAAATAGCAGCATGTAAACTTCTCAAATGCAAGGAGTTTAATCGATTCAAGATCGACTGTGACTCCCAGGACGTCGTGAGAAATGTAAACT